TGCTCCTAGTAGCCAGCCAGATGTTGATACAATTTCAAAGGCCAGATTACTGTTGAGGCTTGAGTGTGTTTCCCATAAACTCGTGTGTCGGAAATTTAATATAAAGTCATATACAGGGTAGTTTTCAGGAATAGGTCATTTGGAACAGGTCAGGAGGTTGAGGACCACTGACAGCATTAGTATTCTGAAAACAAGGAGAAAGGCCAAACTAGCAGGTTTTCCGAGACTCAGCACAGGATAGCCTCCATCCTGGCATGATGTAGTGAAAAGGCCATCACTAGAAACAAGCACATGCTGATGCCATGTGCATGGATATCCTGTAAAACTGTGAGTTAAATGTATATTCTTTACAAATTAGTTAAGATGTTTTATGACTGACATGTGAATGTGTATGTGTTTGTTGGTTTTGACAAATGGCAGGAGCCTACACATATATTGGAAGAGGGAATTTTAATTGAGAAATCCCTCCAAAAAACTGATCTATAGGCAAGCCCATGGACTATACTGTCTTGATTACCGACTGATGTGGGAGGGCCCACCCTACTGTGGGCAGTGCCATCACTGGACATGAAGTGTATAAGAAAGCAGACTGGCCAGGCGTTGGTGGCGCACGCCTTTAATACCAGCACTCGGGTGGCAGAGGCAGGCGAACCTCTGTGAGTTGGAGGCCGGCCTGTTCTACAGAGTGAGTTCCTGGACAACCTCCAAAACAATACAGAGAAACCCTGTCTCGAAAAACAAAACAAAAACAAACAAACAAAAAAACAACAAGAAAGCAGACTGAGCAAGCCATGGGGAGCAAGCCAGTAAGTGGCATTGGCATTCCTTCTCTGCTTCAGTTCTGTCTCCAATTCCTGTTCTGCGTGGCCCCTTAGTGATGGGCTATAATTTGTAAAGTGAAATAAACCCTTCCCTCCCCAAAGTTGCTTTTTGTTTATAATGGTTTATCACAGCAATAGAAATGCTAAGACACTACCTATCATTCATCCATCCACTCACCCACCTACCCATCCATCCATCATCTATCTCTGTATGTAGCCAAAACAAACCCAAGCCATTATATAAGCAAGAACTGTTGTTACTCATGTGAATCAACTAAAAAATATACATATTCCTTTATATATCCAACAAAAGTGAATGTTTAATAATAGCAGCTTCCTTCATAGTAGCCAAAAAACTAGGAATAATTACTATATCCACCAACATCAGAATGATATATCATTATTGTATGTTCATAGAAAACAATAATGGTGAGGATTAAATCACTGAACCTTATAAACAAGGTAACTTGGAGCTCACAGATGGCATGATGAACAACAGAAATGAACCACAAAAACGTGTGTGTGAGAGAGAGAGAGAGACAGAGACAGAGAGAGAGACAGAGACAGAGACCTAGTTACATTAAATTCATAAGCAGATAAAGCTAGTCTAGATGTTGAGGTCAGAACAGCAGTTGTGGAGACTGCTGACAAGAAGTAGAGAGACTTTGGGGGTACAAGATGTTCTCTAGAATATGGCCTGAGTATTTATAAACATGTATACACACGTAAAAACTCAACAGTTTAGCACTTCTCAGTATACAAATTATACCTCAATAGAAAAATTTAAAAACATCAAGCTGATGTTATGCTACAATTTAGAATTTAACAACTAGCTTCTTTTGCATAGCCCTTTGGAGGTCAAGTGAATTACCCCTCCTAAGAGCCATCTTTCACATCACTCTGAGAAGTTAATGACATCACATTTGTTTTACAACGTTGTACTCCTATTGGATTCTAAATCAGGCCAGGCACTATATTATTGATTGCATTGGCCAAGGCAAAGCCTGTGTCATAGTAGTTATTCAATATATGATTTTTGAATAAATGATCAATAACAACAATAACAAAAAGTTAGTGGTTATTAAACACTGTCTACTATGACCATCAAACCAATCTTCTCTTTTGCCTCAGACTTCTAAGGCTGCCAGTGCTTAAAGTGTTGGGTAAGAGGAACACTTGGATGGGAGTTCTGGCTGGATGTACTAGAGGGAAACCATGTCCACTGCTGGACTATTCCATAGGGGGCTGAGTCAAGAGTGTGGTCACCAGCTTCAGAAAGCCAGGAGCAGAAGAGTACCTCAGAAACCACAATGTCCTCACACCTCTCTTCTGCATCAAATGATTCTCAAATGTAACATGATGTTATTCCACCCTTTCGCTGCACACAGAGACAGAATCTTTGTGGAGCCACTTAGTTCCCAAGGTCTCAAGAGTTGTTGACTCCTTCATTAGGCATTCCATTGGCGCTATGTGGATCTATGCTTTCAAATTGCTAGGGATATACTGGGTGACTTCAAAAAAAATGGGAACTTAAGAAAGATAAAACTCTTGTAAAAAAAAAAAAGGGGGGGGATTTTAATCAATTTAAAATATCTGGTATTTAATTTCTAGTATCATAATGACCGTTTCTTGAGACTGATCTTTCATACACTACAGAGTACCAACCTGTCTACAAAGGGGGCAAAAGTTAATTATTAGAAGATTTTTCTTTAGGCCACAGATCTTCAACAAGCCCCAGTCCTAAATAGCAAACCAAGGAAGACTAAGGAAGACATTCAGGTACATGGCAAGTCTAATTTACCACACTCAAAAAGGCCCCAGAAATTTCCATCAACTCCTCGAAATGTTCTGGAAAACAGCAGGATGGTAGGCTCTGGAGTCACCATTTGTTGTGCAATTGCACTCCTTCTATGAGTCACCTGTGGGGCCTGGGGAAGGTCATGCATGACCTTGCCACCCCTCAGCATCCTCACTTGCAAAACTGAAACAACTGCAAATCTAGCCTCTTCAGTGTTCTAAAGCAAATGTCCTAAAAATTCACCAGTGCAACACCTGATGAGTCTTAGCTCTCACTGTATCCTACGGTGTGACTGTTAATGCGCCATAACTCCTTATGAGAGCAACACTAATAAATACATCATCATGAACTTTAGTAAACAACAGTGAGACTGTGTGGCCTAGAATGATCAAGGAAGGCAAGATTTAGCATTCTCCAAAGTACTACAGCTCAGCTTCCCAGAGACAGGCTCTGGTGAGAGACAGACATGATGGCTATTGTTCCCACACCTCTCGCCATCAGACAAAGAGTCAACACGTTGGCAAAAGCAGTCACCCCCTGAACCAAAATATCATAAATACTGGTAGACTATTTTTCTGTGCAATTACATAATACAAATTATAATATGAAGTAATACTAAGTTCAAGAAACAGGAAATGAGCAGGTCATGTGCAAAGGCCCAAAGTGACTACTGCTGATTCTGGGCCTCACACTGTTTTGCAGCAAAGTCAGATTCCAGCCATGGAGCGTGCCCTGTGAGCGTCTCCAAAGCCCACTTACAGGGCCCAGTTCTTGATCAGTTCCTTCAGGGTTTCAGCTCCTTTGCTGTCCCTCACACATCAAACCAATTAATCCCTAAACAGAAACAGCCACCATTCCCTGAGACACATGGACCACAGCTTCAGTTCTGTGTGCAGTTATTGAGGTTGGAAAGTAGCTCTCCTTACAAAGCACATTACTCTATTACCAGGTAACCTCTTGGTTGTTTACGTGTATGCTCCAAAATAACGAGGGCATCAGTTTGTAAGACAGAAAAACAAAAGCACAGACATTTACAGGCTCAATCCCTTTCAGTGCAGTGAGGTCAATAATAAATTTAAAAATTATAGACCACAACTAGAAAAACACTCTTTGGAAATTAATTATTTCTAAGATTATTTCTCAAATACTTTTCTTGAAAGGTTTATATTCATCAATGTTAACTCCATAGCCTGCTCTGCCTGTCAGTGTCAAGCAATGTTCAACAAGAAACAAAAAAACAGCTTCACTTGCCCTGCCTGCCTATTCAAAATAACAAAATATACAAATGTTCCATAGTGATCATATAAATGTCTCCATGGAAAACTTCTGATTCATATTGTAATACCAACAATTCAGGTCTCTAAATTAAATATTTTGGCATATGAATTAACATACATATACATGGTATGAAAACTACCAAAACCTAAAACATCCCATTCACCAAACAAACCAAGACACACTGAAGCACAACTAAAAACATTCACTATTTTATTCTTTGCTATTTTTCATCCTGAAATTCAGTATTTGATTCATTTCATAGGTACAATTACTCCTACCAAAATCTATAGCAGGTATCCACATCACTGCTAAAGATTTGTATTGCACACAGTCTGGAAAGGGGTAAACAGTGAACCAGGATGACACAAAGAGAAAAGCAATAACACACAGAAATGGTAAGAAACATGACTGGAGAAGAAATGAAAGAGGAACTCTAGTAAAGCATCCTTTCCCCTGTCCACACAATCCCTGGTCGCCAGCATAGTTTGTTTATATCACCTCTGAAAGGCACTAGAAAACAACAGCCTTGGCTCAAGGGCCACTCCTGTCTCTGGATTCACGAGTTTGATAGGAGACTGCAGGGGCAAAGGAGAGTGTGTGGACATGGCTTCCATGCCGTGGGCTACTGCCAGTCCTGCATAGACTAGGCTGCCCTAGGCACTGAAGTCTTCCCAGAAGACACTGTTTCACTTAACCCTGAGACAACCATTTCTGCACCCACCACCAAACACCCTGACAATCAAAATGGAAAAACAAAAACCACAAATCCCTACTCTGCATCTTCAACAGCATCTACAATGGCAAACTCATGCAGAACTGTACTAAACACTTCTTAAATTCCATACAGCATACATGTATTAGTCGGAACCAGGAATGTGTTTTCCATGACATCATTAAAGCACAAATGTCTTTTATTTAAGATAGAAATCCTCTTCAAGACTTTTATCCACTATAGATCTGTTTCATAAGGTGTTTTATGAATTTAAAACACCAACAGTATTTTAAATTTTAAATTAAAATACCAATTTGAAATTTTAAAACACCAACAGTATTTCAAATTCAAACAAAAATGCAAAACAACTAGATCTAAGGAGATGTCATACCTGGTGGTGTGTCTTGCTGTTCTTCCACAGAGGGGACATTTATTTCTAAAATTAAACAAGGCAAAAATCCATTATATGCTGCAGATCATAACTATGCTAATCACTTTTTAAAAATTCCCCTATGATTTTCATAAAAGCATTAGGATTTTATACCATGATGACAAAAGAATTAGCTACAGTCAGCAATGCTGAATATTTTTCAATCATCTGCAAAACAGGCTTCAGGATGGGACCCAGCTAACCCAGGCACCAAGACCCAGGTTCTTACCACGGTTTGCATCAGACTCAATAAACAAAGAGGAAAGACCAGCCAGTACCTTGTTTCTTCTATCGAGAATCTGCCACTGAAAAACTGTCACTGTTATCTCTTGGGTACAGTGGACAGGACCTCAGATGTGTGCTCTCCCTACCACTCCCGTAAGACAATCCACCTGCTTCTGCTTGAAAAGTCTTACCTCGTGCTTGTACACTAGCTTTTCAAAAATTAAGTTGTAAAAGAATATTAAAATCAAACACCTGCTCAGTAAAGTCGTTTTGGAAAAATTATCTTCAAGATGAATCTGTATTCTATCTTTACGCTTTGTGTGCTGTGCACTGTGTAGGGTAAAAGGTACAAGCCCACTTCCGGGAGGTTTGAAAATTCACCAAAACCCAACAATCCCTGATCTGAAAATCCCACCAGTCCCTAGGCTTGTCTTGAAATCCCACCAGTCCCTGGGCTTGCCTTGCAATCCTCACTCTGGAAATCTTCACCCTGGAAAATCCTGCCCCCAAGAATCCCGATATAAAGCCTGCTGCTTCTCCCCATAACAGAGGCAGCCACCCTCCTGTGTATTTCCCAATAAATGTCCTGAGTGAGGTTTGTTGTGTGGCATGACTTGGTGGTATTCCCTGGTTCCCAACTGCCAGTATGCCTTTCACCTCAGAGCGGAAACCTTTGAAATAGGAAACCTCTCTGCTCAGAGCTGCAACACTTTCCTTGGGAAAGCCTTTCCCCTCAGAACTGTATGCTGAACCTAGAGCCTTGCATACTAGCATGAGCTACCACTGAACTCTCTGCTCCACAGGATCAGATATTCTAAGTGACCTGAAGATGTGGATGTGAACTTTAACTTCCCTCTTTTGCTGCTTCAGTTCGAGCCCTCTAAGAAGACTGGAGGCATCACCAGTTAATCAGATTCACTCTATAGATTATGTCACATACTAATTTCTTCAAACCTAGAGACCCACTTAATACTGCTTTAGACATAAGACTGTAAGCTTTTGTTTATTAAGAATTGTAAGAGGCCAGGTATGGTGCACGCCTTTGATCCCAGCACTAGGAAGGCAAAAACAGGAGAATCTCCTTGAGTTGAGGCCAGCTTGGTTTACACAGCAAGTTCTTGTACAACAAGGCTACATAGAGAAACCATGCCTCCAAAAAGAAAAAGATGGAAAAAATTGTGATCAAATTTAATTTGAAGTTTTCTTATTACTAATATTCAAAATATTGATATGACTACTTATTCACTTTTGTTCTTAGTGCAACTGGTTTTTAATTATAAAAATTACAGCTCAAAATATAAAAGAAAACAGAAACCTGGGGAGATTACCGGTGGTCTATATATAATCCCAAATCCCAGCATTCCCTTTCCCTATGGGAGTTCACTATGAGTTGCAGGCCAGCCTGGACTACATAGAAAAAAATCAGTCTTTAATCTATCCCCCTCCCCATTTTAAGAGTGAAAAGCAAAGTGAACGAGACTGGAGAGATGATTTAGCAGTTATGAGGACAGCCGTTATGAGGACAGCCGTTATGAGGACAGCCGTTATGAGGACCTGTGTTTAGTTCCCAGCACCCACATGGTGGCTCACAGTTGTCTGTAACTCTAGTTCCAGGACAACTGGTGCATTCTCTAGGCCTCCACAAGCAGCAGTACACACATGTGCGCTGCATATACATATATGCAGGAAACATACTTACACAAATAAAATCTAAAGATAAAAAGAATATAACAAAAATCCCACCTGCTGTTAATGCACTAATGTCTTCATTTTCTCCCTATCACTGATGTCATACTATCAAAGTGTTATTATCCCAAGTTAAATTAAATTTTCAGCTAATTCTATCAAGTACATTCAACAAACTCATCTGAAAATTTTACTGAAGTATTGTGTATTTTGGTCTGTGATAAAACTGCTGATTACTTCTAGCAAGACAATCTAAACACAGTATCTATACTGTCTCTATAGCTTAACTTACCCCAGAATTTTCCTTCTTCCTGAAATTTTATTAGATGGTTTAATTTTACATGACAACTAATGAACAACGAAAGGCATCAATATCAAAATAAAACTGAAACTCAGTGAAAAGTTTAATGTGTACAAATGTGCAAAGCAGAAAGATTTGATAACATTACTAAGCAGAAGAGGGACCACATCTGGCAGGAAATTTAGGCAGAAGTTCAACCAGAACACTAGTGGGAATTTAAGATTTCTCATAAATGATCAGATGCTAACCCAATCTATCATGACTTTAAATACAGCATTAACAGACTTTACATACCCTCTTCTGGGTCCCTTTCTAGTTTCCTGACATCAGCCCTCCTGGCTCCTACAGAGATACATACATAAAAAGGTAGAGGCTAAGATCCACGTGAGAGAAAAAAAAGATTGGGTTTGCCTTTCTGGGCTTGGGTCTCCTCACTCAGTGTCTTCCAGTTCCATCCACTTTCCTGCTAACTACATATTATTTTTCTTTATTTAACATTTATTTCTTTTATGTCTTTGAGTGCTCTATCAACTTTTTGCCAGAAGACAGCATCAGACCCTACTATAGAGGGTTGTAAGTCGCCATGTTGGTGCTGGGTATTGAACTCAGGTCCTCCGAAAGAGCAGCCAGTGCACTTAACCACTGAGCCATCTCTCCTGCCCCAATATTATTTTTCCTTATTTGACTATAGACTATAGGAAAAGCAGAATTCCTCCTAGATTTTCAGAAACCTCTTCACTAAAACTGGCTTTCGACCCATCTGTTACTCCAAGTCATGTCACCTCAAGCCAATCTGAGATTCATTTCTACTTATTGCCTGCAATCAGTGAAAGCAACCTTCCTGGCACACCTGGAAGACAGTGGGTAGGTACACAAAGATCTGGATTTTTACGTAGATCATCCTGATGGCACGTGACATGTGGATCCAAAGGGGACAAGGCACACTGAAAAACATGGCTAGAAGGCAATTGGCATCTACGAAGAGGACTGTACCAGACAACAGTCCAAGAGCTGCAGAGAAATTGATACAAGGAGGCACAATAAAGGACTTGAGATGAGCTATAGAATAATCCGTGTTACTTGTCTGAAATTCCAATATACTGACAGAACCAACTACAGCAACAGAAAAGGGAGAAGAGGTGGCCAGGAGACACATGAAGGTGACAAGTTCCTACCTTGCTGTTACAGTTCAGCAAGAGCCTTAAGTGGGATCACAGCCCTGCTGCTCACCAGAGATGATTAGTAGTCTATCCTATTGTCAAAATGTCTGACTGAAAATTCTTAGAAAGGTGCCATGCTTCCAAGTCTGGAATGTGTGGTAAAATCACATATGGTGATTCTGGTGGTTAGAATTGACTGTCAACTTTATTGAATGTGGACTCAACTAAGAGACACCTCTGGGCACACTGTGGCAGGATTAACTGAGAGTAAGATCTTCTCACAAAGAGGCAGAATCTTCAGCAGCAACCCAGGCATACAGAGAATGCAAAAAGAGCAGTGGTGTCTCGTGATGGTGAGCATAGCCTTCCACTGCCGCTGTCACCCACTGCCATCAGAACCCAGCTTCTTTGGCCTTCCAACTGCACTGAAGACCAGCAGCTCTCTGGGAATCCTCATGTCTTCATCACCACCTTGGGACTCTCTTTTTGGCTTTTTGTTTTCTGGCACTCACTGACTCAGAGATGTTGAAGATGCTGATGGGAAGTGAGATCAAATCCCAATGCAACTGGTACCTGAAGATGATTCTTATATGAATACAGAGAGTATACCTGTACAATCATCTCCCCATCGAGTGTGCACAGGAAAGTAATCTAGTCACTAATCCTTCTTACACATTTCCTCAGACTTCACTTCAATGCAGTCTGCCAAGTCAAGCTCAAAGATACTAATCTTTATCTGCAGGTGTCTCAGGTGCTTGCCCATGGCAGGGGCTCTGACAGAAAATGCACATAAAAACTCTAAGAGTAGTTCTTTGAGGAAAGTCCTCTTCCTTCACGTCTGCTATGGTAGACCTTTGCTGAGAAAGCATGCATGCTCACACAGTCAACTTCAGGTCTCCAGGAAAAGGGCACTCAGACACTTCTGCCTGCGGAACCAGGATCAACCAGGATCACCCAGATCTCACTAGACCTTGTCCCAGTTTCAGCACATTTGAATTTAAAAACAAAAAGGCACAAAGATCCTTGCCCTGTCTCCTCAGTATCTACCATGAGGACCAACCAAAACAACCCACATGCATCTTTCTATACACCAAGAGTTATTAAATCTGCTGTACTGAAACACAGCTACTTAATTGAGTACAAGCTACTATGCTTGCTTTTCAAAAATATCCATTCATTTCCAAGAAAAATGATCAACCAAACAAACAATAACTATGTTTTCCCTCCTTCGCATATAAATAATATCATGAACTATGCAACGTCTAGCAGAACTCCACCCAAAATAACCCTTTATCACCAGCATGCCATCTCCGAAGTGGACACTTACTCACAAAAAGAGTATCCCTTCACCCACACTCATGTCTCTGTCTCTGCCAGCAGCCTGTTTCTGTCACTGTCTTTGTATTCTCATTATGTCTGGCCTCTGGAATGGCAGCTGTATGGAAAACTACCCTATTGGCTTCATCCACCCCAGCATTGCCAGGCCCCAAACCCTGGGTAAACACACTGCTCAGCACATGTTTTGAATTAAACTGATCTATTTTGATGTAGAATATAAGATCATTTCTATAAAAATAACCTACCTTCTGAAATTATGCTGGAATCTTCTATGGCATTATCTAAAAAAATAAATAAGTGAAACACATTACATTAACTCACCTCCACTTGGATTAGTGGTTCTCAACCTTCCTAATGCTGTGACCCTTTAATACAGTTCCTCATGTTGTGGTGACCCCCAACCATAAAGTTATTTTGTTGCTACTTTGTAGCTATAATTTTGCTGCTGTTATGAGTCATAAGGTAAATATCTATGTTTTCTGATGGTCTTACGCAAGCCCTGTGAAAGGGTCCTTTGACCCCCAAGTGGCCCACAGGTTGAGAAGTACTGACTTAGACCCATAAAGTGGTTAAAATCTACCCAGACAGTTTTGTCTAGGCTGGATCTCCTTATGGGAGACTCCTGAGTATTTATACCACAAGATCAACTTTAATTCTAAATGGTATTCAAAAGTTTCATCAAAGAGACTAATCTTTACTCCTGCTGATGTAAAGTAAAAATCTTCTGTGTCCATGGGTTCCATATTCACCAGTCAAGCATCAGAAACACCCAGGGAAAAAAGGAAAAGTGAACATGTACAGGCGCTGTTCTCTTGTTATTTCCCTTCACAATAGAAGGAATGTAACAACTATTGACATGACACCCAAATGACATTCCAGATAAGTGATGCAGGGATGCCTTGAAGTGCTTGGGAAAACACACAGGTTACAGGTTGCAAATACTGTGCTGTTTGATACGAGGGCCTAGAGTATCTTCATACTTTGGTATCTCTTGTCATCCAGCACCAATCTCGCTGTGGATACTCTGTGACAACTCCTAATCACGCCTTAGTGGCTTGTGAAATCTATTGTATTTCCTATATCTCTTCTTTGCTCCACAGCTATGCAGGTAAGAATATAGTCAACATTAGGAAAACTCACCTGAAATCGCTGCCCCTTCCTTTGCTGAATGTTCATGTACTATGAAGTAAACAGAAGAAAAAAAAAAAACATGTAGCACTGAGTAACAATAAAAATGAACAATGTACTATGTTTAACCTTCTTTCCTTATAACGGTTTTAACTCCTCAGCTTACTCTCTAACAGTGTGTATTACAGAGCAGGGTGAGAGGAGTTTGGCTAAATGATATAAAACAAATAGACTGGGTTCAAATTGCAGCCACTGGGTAGCCATGGGAGATGGTAATTTCCTATGCTCCTTCTTCACAGGGGGAAGTACAAGCTCCTTCCCCAATCACTTGTCCGCAAGATTCACTAGTTGACAGGGATTCTCTTTTCTGCCTTCTTCCTGTCTGTGAGAGCTCTAGCCTGCTAATTATCCTAGATCTCTCTTCTTACCAGGCAGTCTTGAGTTTGCATAGGGATTGGTTCTCAGATGGTTACCTGGGGACAAACACCCCTGCTGCTACCCTCTTAGCAGGAACTGCCTAACAGGACCTTTAATTTACCATGGTAACCAGGGCCCAGTGCCCATTCCTGCTGGCATCTGTTGACACAGGACCCGCAGTTTCTGTGCTTTCATGCAAATGCTCTATGTGTCCCCATGGCCCTCCTCCACACCCAGCAGCAAGCAATTTCCTGTCAACTGACCTTCTAAAATGCTTCCAATGTCTGGTATATGAAAAATAAACCTAGTCTGCCTCAAGGATAATACATCTATCTACTTATTCATGAATAAAGAACTGCTTTTGAGTATTGCCTATCTTTTAGACATTATTCTTGGCATTAGAGTACAACCATGTCACCTAGCAGTTAACAAGCTTCAACAGACCTCAGGAGTGAAGCCAACTCTTTAATGGACCACATGACTTTTGCCCTGCTTTTTCTACCTCAGTCAGATTTCTGCAATAACTCACAGTGGACCTTTTCTTTTCAACCTGCTCTCATCAGTACTTGAAAACAACACCCATGAGCGCAGGGGCAGAATTCAAACAAGGATACTCTTTTTTTTGGGGGGGGGGAATCTTTTTCTTTAAATTAGAAACATGATTGTTTTACCTGGTAATCCCAGTTCTCTCTCCCTCTCCTCCTCCCCTGGCCTCCACTAATCCCCTATCTCAACCCCTTTCTGCTCCCACCAGGGAGGGTGAGGCCTTCCATGGGGGATCTTCAAAGTCTGTCATTTCATTTGGAGCAGGGCCTGGACCGTCTGTGGTGTGTCTAGGCTGAGGGAGTATCCCTCTATGTGGAATGGGCTCCCAAAGTCCATTCATATACTAGGGATAAATACTGATCTACTACCAGAGGGCCCAGGACTCCTCACTGACACCCAATTTCAGGGGTTCTGGATCAGTCCTATGCTGGATTCCCATCTATCAGCCTGGGATCCATGAGCTCCCCTTGTTCAGGTCAGCTGTTTCTGTGGGTTTCTCCAGTCTGGTTTTGACCCCTTTGCTCATCACTCCTCCCTCTCTACCAGGAGTTCAGTTCAGTGTTTAGCTGTGTGTCTGCTTCTGCTTCCATCAGCTACTGGAGGAAGGCTCTAGGATGGCATATAAGTTAGTTATCAATCTCATTATCAGGGAAGGGCATTTAGGTAGCCTCTCCACTATGAGATTGTTAGTTAGTGTCATCTTTGTAGATCTCTGGATATTTCCCTAGTGCCAGATTTCTCTTTAAAACTCTATTATGGTATCTCTTATCTTGCTCTCCTCTATTCTCCCCCCTAATCAACCTTCCTGCTGTTCCATGTCCTTGTCTCCCCTCCTCTTCTCCCCTTCTCTTTCTCCTAAATCCCTCTCCTCTCCCCCCATGCTCCCAATTAGCTGAGGAGATCTTGTCCCTTTCCCCTTCTCTGGGGCATGCATGTCAATCTTAGGGTCCTCCTTGTTTCCTATTTTCTCTGGAAGTGTGATTGAAGGCTGGTAATACTTTCTCTATGTCTAAAATTCATATATGAGTAAGTACATATGATGTTTGTATTTTGTGACTAGGTTACCTCATTGAGGATGGTCTCTTCTAGTTCCACCCATTTGCCTACAGATTACAAGATTCCATTGATTTTTTTTTCTACTGAGTAGTACTCCACTGTGTAAATGTACCACATTTTCTCTACCCATTCTTCAGTTGAGGGGCATCTAGGATGCTTCTAGGTTCTGACTATTACAAATAATGCTACAATGCACATAGTGGAACAGATGTCCTTGTTGTATGAATGTGCAACTTTTGGGTATATGCCTAAGAATAGAATTCATGGATCTTGTGGAAGATTAATTCCCATTTTCCTGAGGAATATGCATACTGATTTACAAAGTGGCTGTATGAGTTGGCACTCTCACCAGCAGTGGAAGAGTGTTCCCCTTTCTCTACATCTTCTCCAGCATGAACTGTCATTGGTGTTTTTGATGTTAGCCATTCTGACAGTAGTAAGATGGCATCTCAGAGTTGCTTGAATTTGCATTTCCCTGATGGCTAAGGATGTTGAACACTCTCTTAAGTGTCTATCAGCAATTTTAGATGTCTCTACTGAGAATTCTTTATTTGGTTCTGTACCCTACTTTTTAATTGGAATATTTTGGTGTTTTGGAGACTAGCTTCTTGAGTTCTCTGTAAATTTTGTAGATCAGCCCTCTCTCAGATGTGAGGTTGGTTAAGATCGTTTCCCATTCTATGGGCTGCTGTTTTGTCTTGTTGACTGTGTCCTTTGCCTTACAGAAGCTTCTCAGTTTAAGGAGGTCCCATTTATTAATTGTCGATCTCAGTGTCAGTGCTACTGGTGTTATGTTCAGGAAGCAGTCTCCTGTACCAATTCAATCAAGGGTACTTCCCACTTTCTCTTCTAAGGGGTGGCTGGATTTATGTTGAGGTTTTTGATTCATTTGGACTTAAATTTTGTGCATGGCAATAGATATGGATCTATCTGCAGTCTTCTACATGCCAGCATTCAGTTATGCCAGCACCATTTGTTAAAGATGCTGTCTTTTTTCCATTGTATAATTTTAGCTTCTTTGAAAAAATCAGGTGCTTGTAGGTGTGTGGGTTAATATCAAGGTGTTCAATTCAATTCCATTGGTCTACCTGTCTATTTTTGTGCTAATATCAAGCTGTTTTCAGTACTATAGCTCTATAATAGAGCTTGAAGTCAGGGAATGTGATATCTCTGGAAGTTCCTTTATTGTACAGGGTTGTTTTGGTTATCCTGGGTCTTTTGTTTTTCCATATAAAGTTGAGAGTTGGCCTTTCAAAGTATGTGAGGAATTGTGCCAGTATTTGGATGGAAACTGCATAGAATCTGCAGGTTGCTTTTGGCAAGATTGCCATTTTTTACTAAGTTGATCCTACCTGTCCAAGAGTATGGGAGATCTTTCCATTTTCTGGTATCTTCTTTAATTTCTTTCTTTAAAGACTCAAAGTTCTTGTGATATACATCTTTCACTTGTTTGGTTAACATTACCACCAAGATATTTTATGTTGTTTGTGGCTATTTTAACAGGTGATGTTTCTCTGATTTCTTTCTCAGTCCATTTACCATCTGTATATAGTAGGGCTACCGATTTCTTTTAAATCTTGTATTCTGCCACTTTGCTGAAGGTGTTTGTCAGCTGTAGGAGTTCCCTGGTAGAGTTTTGGGTCACTTATGTAAACTAGCATATCATCTGCAAATAGTGAAAGTGACTTCTTCCTTTCTAATTTGTATCCCTTGATCTCCTTTAGTATTGCTCTAGCTAGAGCTTCAAGTACAATATTGAAGAGATATGGAAGAGTGGACAGCCTTGTCTTGTTCCTGATTTTAAAGGAATCGCGTTGAGTTTCTCTGCATTTAGTTTTATGTTGGCTGTTGGTTTACTGTATACTGTTTTTATTATGTTCAAGTATGTTCCTGTTATCCCTGATCTCTCCAGGACTTTTATCAAGAAGAGGTGTTGGATTTTGTCAAAGCATTTTTCAGTATCTAGTGATATGATCATATGGTTTTTCTTTTCCAGTTTATATGCTTATATGTTGGATTACATTGATAGGTTTTCATATGTTGAACCATCTCTGCATCCCTGGAATGAAGCCTACTTGATCAAGGTGGATGATTTCGCTGATGTGTTCTTGGCTTCGATTTGCTAGTATTTTCCTGAGTATTTTTGCATCAAGGTCCATGAGGGATATTAGTCTGTAGAGATCTTTCTTAGATGTGTTTTTGAGTGGTGTGGGTACCAAGGTAGAGTTTGGCAATGAATCTTCTGCTTCTATTGTGTGGAACAATTTGAGAAGTATTGGTATTAATTCTTCTTTGAATTTCGGGTAGAATTCTGTATTGAAACTATGTGGCTCTGGGCTTTTTTTTTTTTTTTGGTTGGGAGACGTTAATGACTGCTTCTATTTCATTAGGTGTTATAGGTCTCTTTAAGTTGATTATCTGTTCTTGATTTAATTTTGGTAAGTGATATCTATCCTGAAAATTGTACATTTCCTTCAAGTTTTCGAATCTTGTGGAGTACAGGTCTTCAAAGTATGACCTGAAGATTCTCTGGATTTCCTCAGTGTCCGTTGTTATGTTCCCTTTTCATTTCTGATGTTCTTAATTTGCATGTTCTCTCTCTGCATTTTGGTTAGTTTGGATAAAGGTTTGTCTATCTTGTTGATTTTCTCGAGGAACCAACTCTTCGTTACATTGATTCTTTGTATTGTTTTCTTTGTTTCTACTTCATTGATTTCAGCCCTCAGTTTGATTATTTCCTAGCATCTACTCCTCCCGGGTGAGTTTGCTTCCTTTTTCTCTAGAGCTTTCAGTTGTGCTGTTAATTTTCTAGTGTGACTATTCTGCAGTTTCTTCACGTGGGCACTTAGTGCTATGAACTTTCCTCTTAGCACTGCTTTCAAACAGTCCCACAAGTTTGGGTATGTTGTGTCTTCATTTTCATTGAATTCTAGGAAGTCTTTAAATTCTTTCTTTATTTCTTCCTTGACCAAGGAATGGTGCAATTGCATATTGTTCAATTTTCATGCGTTTGTAGGGTTTCTGCAATTTGTGTTGTTGTTGAATTCTAACTTTAGAATTCTAATAAGATACAGGGGATTGTTCTAATTTTTTTGTACCTGTTGAGGTTTGCTGTGTTGTCTTATGTGGTTGATTTTTGAGAAGCTTCCATGTGGCACTGAGAAGAAGGCATATTCTTTTCTGTTTGAATGGAATGTTCTATAGATGTCTGTTAAACCTAATTGAGTCATAACTTCTGTGAGTTCCTTTGTTTCTTTGTTAAGTTTCTGTCTGGTGGTCCTATCTAGTGGTAAGAGTAGGGTGTTAAATTCTCACACTATATCTGTGTGAGGTCTTATGTGTGATTTGAGGTTTAGTAATGTTTCTTTTACGAATATGGGTGCCTTTGTATTTGAGGCATAGATATTCAGAATTGAGACTTCTTCCTGATGGATTTTTCCTGTGATGAATATGAAATGACCTTCTTCATCTCTTTTGATTTATTTTAGTTTGAAGTCTTATTTGTTAGATATTATGATAGCTACACCAGCTTGTTTCTTGAGTTCATTTGATTGAACAATCTTATCCCAACCCTTTACTCTGAGGTAATGTCTTTCTTGAAGTTGAGGTATGTTTCTTGTAGGCAGCAGAAGGATAAATTCTGTCTTTGTATCCATTTTGCTAGCCTGTGTCTTTTTATAGGCAAGTTAAGACCATTAATATTGAGGGAAATTAAGGAACATGAGTGTTAATTCTTGTTTGTTTTGGATTTGTTGGTGGTGGTGGTACTGTGTGTGGATTTATTCTGTTTTTTTCTTTTGGCTTCTGGTAAAGTGGGATTATGTATTGCCTATGTTTTTGTGAGTGTAGTTAACTTCCTTAGGTTGGAGTTTTCCTTCTAGAACTTTCTTTAGGGCTAGATTAGTGGATATGTATTGCTTGAATCTAGTTTTTTCATGGAATATCTTGTTTTATCCATCTATAGTGATTGAAAGCTTTGCTGGGTATAGTAGCCTGGGCTGGCATCCACTGTCTCTTAGTGTGTGTAGAATATCTACCCAGGACTTTCTGGCTTTCAAAGTTTCCATGGAGAAGTCAGGTGTGATTCTGATAGTTTTACCTTTATATGTTGGCCTTTTTCCTTAACTGAGCTTAATATTCTTTCTTTATTCTGCATGTTTGGTACGTTGATTATTATGTGATGAGGGGAATTTTTTGTGGTCCACTTTATTTGGTGTTCTGTATGCTTCTTGTACTTTCATTGGCATGTCTTTCTTTAGGTTAGGAAAGTTTTCTTCTATGATTTTATTGAATATATTTTTTGCACCTTTGAAGTGGGTTTCTTCACCTTCTTCTATACCTATTATTCTCTAGGTTTGGCCTTTTCACAGTGTCCCATGTTTCTGGATATTTTTTGTTAGAGACTTTTTTGAACTTATGATGTTCTTTGGTCAATGAATCTATTTCTCCTACTGTATCTTCAACGCCTGAGATTCTCTCTTCCATCTCTTGTATTATGTTGGTTATGCTTGCATCTGTAGCTCCTGATCATTTACCCTTCTTTTCTAATTCCAGCATTCCCTCAGACTGTTTTGTTTTTTTATTGTCTCTATTTCAACTTTGAAATCTTGCAGTGTTTGAATTGTTTCTTGAAATTTTTGGTTTGTCTTTTCTTCTATTTCTTTAAAGGATTTTCTCATTTCCTCTTTTAGGGTCTGTATCATCTCCATGACATTGTTTTTAAAGTCGTTCTCTTCTACTTCATCTGTGTTGGGATGTTCACATCTTGCTGGTGTAGAGTCCCTAGACTCTGGTAATATTATATTGGTTTTTCTGTTGTTGAATATATTCTTATATTTCAAGACTAAATATTTAAATGCTATCTCAATGGCCAAGCTTTTTATGTTTGTAAAAAAACTGTATGTAAATACAACCTAAGCTTATCATTTATATCCCATTAGAAATGGCCATTATAGACAGTGATTTTGGTACTTTCTCAAATCTTAAACACATACATAACAAAATAGCATATCAGACCTACACACAGACTATTTTTTCCCCTCTGTGCACTTTGTCAGCTCTCAAGAATTTGTAACTCCTTGAAGCAGATCTGAATTCCAATGCCACAGTCACCTACAGGTCCTTATACTACGATGGATCGCAGCAAATTTTCTCAGCCTTCTTTCTCTGTCCTCAGTTACTCTCAGCTGAATTCTGTCTTCACACAGTGGTTCTGAAGATGCTTTAATTAAAAACAGCACATCACAAACGCCATTTCTTACTCAAAAAATCTTGAGCAATTTGTTCTTCCTTCCCCAACCTTACTTCTCATGCCCAGAAAGCAGGGAAAGCAATCTGTTCCATGGAATCCAAGAAAATTGTGCTGGAGATAAGAGCAGTCAGCCACCTAAACACTAGCCTGGCCCACTTCCAACCAGCCTACATATGGACTTCCAGCCAGAGCCCAGCTCTTGATCTTCCCCACCAGGGCAGAATGCCATGCAAGACATCTTCAAGAGAGGACGGCTTTGTAGAAAGAAACTCTGAGTGAAGAGGTTATTCATTCATGTTAGTCAAAAAGGGTGAGTGTAAAATGGTGTCAGTTTTAAATAGCTTCTAATTTCAATTTGTGAAAAACAAAATAAGGTATTACTTAGGCACTGGAATATTCACTGAAATAAGTAGAAAATTTCCCATATGAATTCCTTCAAGATGGTTGTTGGATGCTGCATGATAGTTATAGCTTGGAACATAATTTTCCATATTTGTATGTAAACTATGAAACAAATGAGTGGCTTAGGTTAAGAAATATTTACAAACCTGGTTCATCATAATCTTGGTGTGTTTGTTCCTCTGCAAAAAAAGAAAAGGAAAAAAAGGAGATTTAAGACAAAATAAGTACTAAGCAAGGTACCTACAGCTGTGAAACTAAAGGAAAAAAACAAATACTAAACAACCTTGTCTTAACCAGATTTCTAAGTAATGCTGCAGTTACGCATGTGTGTCTCTGCCCAAAAGGAATGGATGTAAAAGAAAATTATTCTCACAAAAATTCGAGATAAAATCTATAAAAACAGCATTAGGAATAAGTGGCAGCTTTGTTACAGTGGGGCTGTCAGTAGGAGAGGAGACAAGCACACAATACAGGACAGAAAAAAAAAGTCCTACTAAAATCGCATCCATAATCTTTGTAAAAAGAAACAACAAATCAACACAGTAACACCAGAGATCCTTTCCATGGTTTAAAAGTGAATGACAAATGCCCATCTAGTACCTGCATCCTGCTGTGGCTTATCAGCATCTGTTACTGCTTCACTGGCATCTAAAAAGAAAAAAAAAAACAAAAAAGATTTTGCCTAATAGCAAACAACATGCACATCACAGACACCATTCTACAAGAGTCACAAATTAATTCTAACCCTAAAGGTCTCCTCAGGTAGATACTGTTGTGGCTTGGATATAAGATGTTCCCAAAGGCTCCTTCATTGGAGGCTCAGGCCCCAGTTAGTGGCACTACTGATAGGCGACTGGATCATAAGGTGTTAACCTCATCAATGATTAATCCATCAATGAATTTATAGATGAATGAGCTATTAGGAGGCGGGCCTTACTAGAGGAAACGGGTCCGTGTGCCACTGGGGAGTGGGTGGATCTTTGAGTACAGCTTGTCCTCCCTTCGCAAGCTTTTTGCTTCCTGGCTAGCATGTTGTAAGTAGCCTCACTCTGCCATCTGCTCCTGCTGCATAATATTCTGCTTTGCCTCAGGCCCAAAGCAATAGAGCTACTAAATCCAAAACTGAAATACATGATTCTGGGCTGGGAAGTAGTACAGTGGTAGATTCCCCAGGGTTCAAAGCCCAGCATCACCACCAAAAAAAAAAAAAACACAACAATAATAATAAAATCTGATTCTATGAGCAGGGAGAAGCCTCCCTCCTTGGTTTGATCCTGCTAGCCCAAGCCAGGATCTATACCTTAGGTCTGTACACAACAGAGACACCTGCACTTCTTCATTTGCCGAGACCTGTTTATCAACAAACGATTAGACGTAGACAATGTGGTGTAAATAAAGACTGATGCTTCATTTCCCCATAAAGAACAAAATGACATCATGTGAAGTCAGTGAAGTAAGTCAGAAACTGAAAGACAAGTATGTTGATTGTCATGTGAAAACGATATTATAAAGGGGGATGAAGGCAAAGGGGAAAAAGAGGGAAAGAAAGGAAAAGAAGAGGAAGTCCAAACACAAAAGTAGAATGGGGACTATTTGGGAAAACCAGAATGATGGGGAAGCCAGAGAAGGGTGGATGGTAAGGGTATGTGTAAATGCACACTGTACAGATGTATGAAAATATCATAATGAAAGCCAATATGCTAACGAAACTAAAAAATGTTTTTGTCCTTTAAAAATGACCTCCCAGATATTTTGTCACAGCAATAAAAACTAACACATGTACTACTACTCTCTCTCTTTTTAAATATTTTATTTATTTATTGTGTATCCAATCTTCTGCCTGCATGCCAGCAGAGGGCACCAAATCTCATTCAAGGTGGTTGTGAGCCATCATGTGGTTGCCAGGAATTGAACTCAGGCTCTCTGGAAGAGCAGTCAGTGCTCTTAACCACTGAGCCATCTCTCCAGACCCCACTACTACTCTTTTTTCATAAATTTAACACACAAAATGTCCCAAAAATCAAGTTGCAAAGATGGCAAAGAGCAAACTATGGTTTGCAGCCTCCTGCCTCTATGACATCACTCTCTTCCATTTCTAGTGCCCCTTAAAAAGAACACCAATTGTCTGGGGAAAGGCATCCTTTTCTCTTCATTTACCTTGCAATGTTAAAACAATATGCAGGCAACTTTGTCATCTAGAGAATATGAACACCTGTGAGAATTATGAAAATACCTCTCTGGGAAATCAGAGTAAACCACTCACCCTGACTTGAGCCTCCCTAAGTCCCAACTTCCAACAGAAATACACATTGGTAATTTTAATATTTACAAACCTGAGATTTCCTGTTCATTCAGTATCTCTTCCACATCATTTGGATGGTCCTCTGATGCTATGAATCAGGAAAGGAGAAGTTAAAAATGTCTCAAATAAAGCTTGTATATGAAACCTAGAACTGGAAGCCACAAATCCTGTGACCAACCATGTTCCCTCAGAGAACAAACTTGTATGAGCTTAATGCCAAATACAAAGATACACAGTTTCCAACACCAATGCATTTGCAATCCATGCACAGATGGGCAGTTTATGGTCTCATGTGGCATATGCCATTTCAACTAGTCATCAATTCAAAACATACGAGCACAGAACACCAAAAAACAGCACAGGTCAGTCCCATCTTGCTATAAAGACCACTGCCACAGGGAGCACTGTACAGGGGGGTCTTACCAGACTGGCTCCAACTGTCACAGTTCCAGTGTTTACACACACATAGCATTGAGGGATTCGGACCCACTCAATAATGCCAAGAGGGGCTTAAAATCAGAAAAGAGTCACTTGCTCTGCTCTATAAGGAACACTAGTCGAGACAGGCTCCCTGCAAGAGGATGGATCCAGCTCAGACATGGACATGCTTTGTAGGGTCTCATAACATGCGGAAAACATGATACAGATCTTTGACCAACTTCATAATTTAAGGCACTAAAGCATGCATGTGCATTGTTTTGTTTTTGTTTATTTTTCTTTCTCTTTTGTTTTGTTTGAGACTGGTCTTACTTTATTGCCCAGGCTGGCCTCATGGCAATCCTCTATCTCAGCCTGCCAGGTGCTGGGATTATAGGTGTGAGGTATCTGTCCAGCTTGGTTTTATTGTTGTTGTTGGTGGTGGTGGTGGTGTGTGCATGTATGCATGTTGACAAGGTTTCACTATATAACCCAGAGGAGGTTTGAACTAACAACCTTCCTGGCTCCACGTTCTGAGTCTGAAATTACAGGTATATGCCATCAAAACCAATGCAATTCCTTTGTATAAATGACACAGTAATTCTACTACTTGGGATTTATAGTCAGGAAATAAATATAAATAAAACACAACATTAGTAGCTATATGTCATATGATACATTGAATAATTTAAAAATGCTAACAAATAGTATTTTTATCTAACTCATGATGCTGTTGGAAGATTCCCTCTAATAAAATCTTACCTGTCTCTTCCATATGGTAACTATCCTCAGTTTCTGAAAAAGAAAAGAAAAGAAAGCATTTGGTTGATACATTCTCTCATATATGGTATATGTATCTGTTATCTAGGTCTATTTTGAATGATAATTTAAGTAATTCCAATGCTTGTGAATGATTTTATCATAAACTATCAAAATAAAGCATGGAAATATCAATTAACTCTCTATTGTTTAATCACTGCTTTATACCACGCGTCTCATGCACTCTTTCTTCCTTCACCCACCCAACGGTTGCACAGTGTTGACACACAGCAAAACCGCGGGTAAAGAGAAGGCAGTTCATGCAGTGACCTACAGGGACAAAGGCTTGAGGCAGGGAAGGTCTGTTAACCCACTCCACATTCCCCTGTGGCATCCTATTTACTAGCTTTGTCCTGTTTCCGAAAGTGAACATGCATGCTGAAAATATAGAAGAAAGCAAGAACGAAGATTTGGTATGTTTGAAAAGCTAAAAAAAGAGTATATGCTTCTGGTTTGGTTTTGTTTAATTGGATCGTAGTTGGTTGGTTTTGTTATTTTGTTTTCAGACAACGTCTCACTAGGTGGCTATGGCTGGTGTGGAGCTCTCTATAGAGACAAGGGTGGCCTAGAACTGAGAGATCTACCTGCCTCTGCCTCCCCAGGGCAGGGATTAAATGCCTGCAACACCATGCCTGGGTTTATAGTTCTTTTTGAAACAGGGTCTCACCATCCAGACTGGCTTCCAACAAATGGACTGTAGGCAAGTGCCACCACACCTGCACAGAAACTGTCTGGGCCACTGAGCTCACTTACTCAGACAATAAAAATGCCAGCATTTGATCCTCACCGCTATAACCTTTGTGTATTTTAGCACCCTGTGACAATTTCGTACATGCACAGAATATGTTCTGATCACACTTGTCCTCCATCAGCAGGTGTTTCTTCCTGGCCAGAGCTGACCCCCTAACCTTGCTGATCCTAAATCCTTCCCCCTTCAAATGATATCAAATCATTTGAAAATCTGCCACCAACGAAATTTCCCAGCACAGTATGTCAGAAGTGTGCACCCTTTGACATTTTGTGACATGCAGTTTTTGCAACCATTTGTTAGCTGGTCTTGTATATAGAGGTTCATGGAAACACAGCCATGTTTATACCCAATTAATTACAGCTGAAGATCGTCTTTGTGCTATATTAACAGCTGAGAGTTCTAACATCTACTGAATTCTCCACTAGTTGAAAACACCTGCTACCTGGCTACTTAACAAAAAATGTCTGGGGACATGTGCTACAGAAGCTGCAGATTGCCCTCTGCCCAGTAGAGGGAGACAGTGCTGTTAGAACAAAAGCCAGGGAGAGACAGCAAGTGCCTTGCATGCTTCTTCGTGACTGGAACTTCATGTAACACATGACCCCTCATGGCGCAACAGAGAAGCTTGCCAAGGCACTGCACTTGCCATTATCAGAAATCCACCTATTTATGAGTTTCCGTCAGGCTTTGCAAGAAATCAGGTATCATTTTATTTTAGAGAAAGGCTCAGTCACTTTGAAGCAGTAAGCTTCATCCTCAAAATATATAAACATAAAATTAAATACTGCTCTGAAAGGAACTTTAGAAATGTCTTAATAATTACACTATAAGCTACCAACTATTTTATGTATTTATTTCATGTGCACTGGTGTTTTGCCTGCATGCATGTCTGTGTGAAGATGTCAGATTCTCTGGAACTAGAGTTACAGACAGTTGTGAGCTGCCATGTGGATGCTGGGAATTGAACCCGGGTCCTCTGGGAAAACAGCTGGTGCTCTTAAGCACTGAGTCATCTCTGAGCCATCTCTTCAGCCCCCCATCAACTATTTTTAAAGAATTATGTTCTACCTTCAAGAACTGCCTCAGGTTCCAGGACCTCAAATCTGTCCTCTCCATCGGTCACTGTGAGGAAGTCCTCGACTTCTGGCTGTGGTTCTGCTGGCCCATCTGCTTCCAGGTTCGAGTCTCCAACAAGGAGAAACAGGGAGCAAGAAGAAAGAGTAAGAGCCCACAGTGGCAGTCAGGCCCATCTTCAGCCACCCCACGAGCCTCTGCCATTATCCCCTCTACAGTCACTTTCTTAATCTGGCCAGTGCCAGTCTGTCTGAGAGTCACTTCTCATTACAATATGAACGCATGGAGGATAGTCACCTCAGTGTGTCGCTCATACTGTATACTAAGCAGGGAGGACCATGAGTAGCCAACGGAGATGCTCCTAAATACTTGATGAATCAATAAATGAATTTGTAATTATTAACACGTACGTCTCTTTTATGATCCCTGAGTCAGGAAAAAGGTCATAGCAAGGCTTTTCATTGAGAACCGTCAAATTTCACACAGCAACTATATTCGATAACTTAAATGTTTTAATGTAGAGAACAGCTGGTTGCCTGCTAAGTCACATTGCTACACCCTAGGTACACCTCACATTGTGCATATCAACTGGCCTAGGCATAACTATTTTAGTTAGTAGAGACAGAAAAGTTCTTTGCTGAATTCTTTAGGCTGTACTGAACATGCTACATTACTCCAATTCAATACAGTTTGGCCTGTGACCTTGCCCTCAGGTTACCCTACAGTGACTTGCATGGTCCCAGCAGATGACTTCTTGTAAGCAATGCTCCATTTGTAAGAACCTGAGTGAGTTGGACTTGGCTGTTTGGGAATCTGATTTAGCCTAAATCTGGATTTAGGCTCTTTACATCAGCTGTCCTGGTGTAAACAAATTACCTACTCCATGCCTGAGATTCCCTTCCAGAAAGCTGGAATAACAATTCTCTATTCAGAGTATTGGTAAGAGGATGAAAATACTTATGAGCATGCCTAGCCCATCATAAGTGTCTAATGTGGTTATCACCATTACAATTACTATAGAAATGACAAGACTTTCTCTACTGCAATTGAACTGTCCCCACGACCAGTGGAAGCCCTTTTTAGTTATTCTGCATACTGTGGCATAGTGATGTTCAGTTTCACTAAATCCTATAGACCTATTTGTGTAGATATTTTTTATAGAAGGTGCCCCGTATCTACAGTTTTGCTTTCTGAGGTCTCATTTGTCTGGGGCCAACCACACAGTATGAAACGTTAAAGTACCAGGAATAAACTTTTTAAATATGTTTGATTCCCAGTAATGAAATCCCTCTTCATCTCTCTCCACCCCATCTGGGATATGAATCACCCTTTGGTCCAGGCTCATCAACACTGTATACTCAATCTGCCCATTAGTCACCCAGCAGTCATGTGTATCAGATTTAGTGGCACAGTTATTTATGATACAGAAATCCTTATTTAACTTAATAATGACTCCAAAGCACAAGAATAGTAATGTTGGTTATCCAAGGAATAATACTCATACTTGTTTTTTTAATAATTGATTTTTTAAAAAGAAAGAAAAAGAAGACAGTTGAGGTAGCTACAAAATCTTCAGATTGAGAAAAAAAGTGCTAATTTTGCCATTGCACCTCAAACGCAGACACTACAGCCTTGGTATGTGACAAAGATAAGGGTGGAGTTCAGTACTATTTTTGCTTTCACAGATCCCAGGGGTCCTCAGAGAGCTGTAGGGAGGTACACACGATCTGCTTCCTGTGCATTCATCACCATGAGAGTTTCTCCTCCTTTTAGACCTGCTATCCGCAAAACCACCCACCAAACCTAACTGCTGCTGGAAGCTGTGACTATCCACAGTCCTCTTTCCTTCTCCCTTCATGCCCTCTAGAGACGTTTTGTGATTTGCACCACTAGCAGTCTGCACTACTGTTTAATGGATGTGTCACTGTTCGAGTAGAGAAACCAGGCAAGCACTCTCCGGTGGCTTTGAGTCCACTGTGCAGCAAGTGCCAGCCATGGGAGAGAAAGCAAGCCCATGCTGGGGGCTCACTACACTACGCACTGTCAACTCTCTGCTGTTGCACTTTCCTTGCAAAGCTGACGTTACTATCCAGCTCTGACGTACGAGGGACTTTGCTCAAACCACAGAGCTAATACACGGTAGATGCGGGGTAGCAATGGAGTTTAAGACACTAGGTCCAGGGAAGTCATGTGTGGGGATCACAGACCCTGGCCGGAAACCCACCCCTCCATCAGCCTGGGAGCAGGCAGCTGCGAGACAATGTTTACTGAAAACATGTTTACTGAAAACAATTCAGATGAGACAGCAGATGCAAAGGCCCTGAGACACAGAAGCTGGAATTGTTGCAGGAGACAGAGACTGCAGGCTGGAGGAGAGGCAAAGCCTGAAAAGGCACAGCTGATAGGGCCACACCCAACACGGAATAGAGAACAGAAACAGACCGGGATGAATGCCACTGCAGGGCCATGGCAAGAGGTGACATACAAAGCTAAGGCACAAGAGTCAGGACACATGCTGAGAGCAAATTGGACAGGGCTTGCTGCTAGGGGAACGAGAAAATTATAGAAAACGCATAGGGTTTTAGCTTGGCCCATGACAGACAAACTCACTAAAAAGCATAAAAAGCTCAAGTAAGAGCAATTGGCATGGGGAAGGACTGATAGGGAGCTGTGACCCTGCACTGGGAAGGGCTGTGACACTGCACTGGGAAGGGCTGATGGGCTGTGGCCCTGCACTGGGAAGGGCTGATGGGCTGTGACACTGGGAAGGGCTGATGAGCTGTGACCCTGCACTGGGAAGGGCTGACGGGGAGCTGTGGCCCTGCACTGGGAAGAAGCCTTCAGTGCTCGGCATGGTTACATCCTGAGTCACCTACAGCATCCCCAAACGGAAATGTGCTGTGTGTAACTGGGTACAGTAGGACTTTAGGTAAGTCACTGGTGACATCTGCAGGAGTAAAAAGACATAAATGATGTCTGCAGCCATGGAGAACCCATGTAATTGTCTATGGAGAAAGCCTCTATACGGGTATAAACCAGAAGCAAGAAGGTACAGCAGGGAATTAGGCTCTAGGATTCTTTCCTCTTCTGGTTTGCTATTCATCACCCTCACCTTAGCCACTGGGCTGTTGACAAACAGCTGCTTCACCTTCCCACTCCTCTGCATCCCTAGCCTGGTAGAGCCGACTTTCATGGGCCATCCTGACTCCATATTTGGTCTCTGCTGCACACAGACATGTTCCCGCCTAGTCTTCAGACTGTAGGCCGAACAAACTATACTCCTATACCCCTCCCGGCAGCTCCAATTCCTCTTCAAAGTGTCTTTTCTGTCCTCACTCTACCTGTGCCCCCATTCTGACCATCTTCACATTGGACCCCTAATTACAGCAAAGGCCAGGTGAACTGTTCTGCTCTAAGCGGCATGCATTCTTCCCAGCAAGTGTCTCCGAGTCCTAGGCCCGGTAACCTCACTTAGTATCCTGTGACTCACCACGGCAGTTTTCAGCTTATCACACTGAACTCAGTATTTAGATGCCATCTTCCTTGTGCTTGTGCTACAGGGGTGGGGCGGGGAAAGTTGTAGCCTGTGTGTGCTATGGGGAAGGAATACAGTCCAGTGACACAGCCTGCCAAGAATTATAAGGGACAATCCTTCCTACATTGTCAGCAGCCATCAGCAATATCTGATTTCACGAGATAATACTTCTTCCTTTAGGCGTCCCTCAGATCTCACTAAGACAACAGGATACCAGGATGCCAATGACCTGCCCCTTTACAAACCCTCCACAAGTTACATTATAGGGTCACGCTATCTGCTTTTATCACGAGGTGTTTCTAGGAGTATCCCTATGAAACTCTGGCACACCAATGGCTGGATTATCATTCAATATTCTCTACACAGACCCTACCACAAGAAACCAGAGCCAAGCGCTGGGAGGAGACGTCCTGGTCTCTTTGATAGCATGATCTGTAAAATTGTTTCACATGCTTTGCTTGGGTAACCTGGGAGAAAACTGGGAGAAATAAAGATGGCTCCAGAGGTTCACTTCTCCTGAAGGTACAGTATGGCTCTTCAAGTTTGGAGTAATTCCTGAGGGTGGAGCATCTCCCCTCATGTGGAGGACAGCTCCTGAAGGTGGAGGACCACGTCAAGACAAGCAGCCAGAGCTCATTGGCCTATATTGGTCACTCTACTCTGACTCTCCCATTTATTCGTGATGGAACTCTGGCCTTGAATGAATTATTTATGTTCATTCCTATGATTTTAAAATTAAATATGTCCATAAAACTCCTTCACAGCGAGGTGGAATTTTGAAAAGTATATCCAGTGCTTCCTCCCCTCCCCCCACAGAAGTAATAGTTGGTCTATAATTACTCGGAATATAGTTACAGAAACTCAATTATTTTAGTAACTTGTGCAAAACAGAATTGAATTCATACCATATTCTGTGTGTACTGATTCCTGGAGAAGGGACTGAATTTGTTCTTTTACTTCATCTTCAACATTCTGGACTTCTAAAATAATTACAAAACATAACAAAAGAACATAACACTCAAACGTTAATGGGAAATTCCAACACTTAAATAAGTCACTTGCATACATACTAAGATGACTACACTTGGCTAAAAGGCTATGTATTTTTTCCATATTCATATGCCACTTCCTCCCCTATGTCAGCAAACATAAAAGACACTTAAAATTGGACTTATTTGCTTAGCGGATGTAAATGCTGAGAGACTTTCAAAGGTACTTTTAAAGAAGAAACTAATCCAGGCATAGACTTTCTTTCCTTTAAAAATAATAGTCTAAGAGCAAAAGCTTTCAGTTTCCAATTAATAAAATTCCTACTCATGTTAGAAGAAAGCAAAGACTCAGCTTTCATAAAGAGGAGTACTGGAAAAGACCGAATTCCATACAGACTAAACAATGTGATCCACGCCTGCACTCCTGGCAGTCGGGACGAAGGACACCATTGCTGAAATGAGGACCAGAGTAGGTAGGGAAGCCCGACCCACAGATCTGAAGCTTGTGTGATAATGAACACCCTGTCAGCTTTAGAAAAATGTATCAGAAAGCCAGACCCCAAGGCTCAAATAATTGTGACTTACAAAAGTGCATGTTAATGACTACATTCCAACAACACCATATTATTTATCAGACTGTAAGACAGGTAAACGCCAACATTACACAACAAATAAACTGTAGCTGCAAGACACTGTTGCAGGTTTGGTAACGTAATAGACTTCATCTTGGCATCATCGGTGCTGCATGTGAGATAATGCCAATGGCAGGAGTTACATCAAAGCACAGATGTTCAGTGACAGACAGAGTAAGTTCAGGCGAGGAAAAGGTGTAACCCATGTTAGGCCAATTGCTTAATAAAACATTTCTAAAGCGTAAAGATGTTTTATTTCTGTTTCACTAGTCATCCACATGGATATCCTGGCACAATTATACAGGTCCCTAATCTCTACTCTTCTTTCACTGTCTCCCAGGGTTTGTGACAGTCTCCTCATTGGGGCCCATTCCAACAGTGCTGAGAAAAGCATCCAATGTGATCACATGAAGAGTTTCTAGCTGCTTCTTTACTGACTTCCTAGACAGGGAAACCTAAGCACCACAGATTGAGAACTACGAATGCGGGTCCTCCCACACTTTCCCAGACTCGTTCTACCAGCACTGGTTTAGAACTCAGTGAATGCCCTGTCACTTCATTCCTGATTCTATACATGTCTTTCTTCTCGTGTGGAGATGCTGCAGAGGTAGACTACAAACAGGTTAAAGAATGGATAGGAATGAAATTAAAAAGGCAATGTTATGCAGTGTGTTCTTTCAAAAGTGTGTTTACTACAGTGAAGAGAGGGACCCTGTGGCAGGTGGGGGTTAGGAGGATATCAAAGGCTTTAGTGTACTTAGAGATAGGTATCTCTATTTGAAAACCAGATGGAAGAAGCCAGAAAAAGAAAAAAGAACTAAAGTCTCAATAGGAGAAGGGCGGAGAGGGGGGAATGCAATCTGAAAACATTGCCAAGAAGCTGAGGAGAATGAGAGCTAGCAATAAACCAGTGGGCCTGCTAATTGGCAATCATTTGCAAAGAATCGTTAACAAGAAAGGATAATGGGAAGCACATGGAAAATCTCAGATCCAGTACTCATTTAAAAAATAGATTTTTAAAATTACAAGTCTGTTTAGTGCAAAGTAAAATATTAATTGTTAAATTCAAATAATTAAATTAAAAACCTTTACAAAAAAAGCAGATGGATTCTGGAGCCATATACCAAGTCCATGGGTGTGAGAAGGAGACAATAAATTCTCCTAAGGTTTGAAATAACAAAAAATAAAGCTTAGACTAATATATTGTTCCTTGAAGGGATGAAGTAAGAAATCGTATTCAACAGCACAATTTGGGCTGCATATTGTTTCCAATAAACATGTATGCAGTACTTCCAATAGGGGGCGCAAAGAAACCACCAATTTTCTTAAGTATTGCAAGACAGACAAGCACTGAAGCTAATTGCATTCTACAATTACCATGTGGCAAGCAGAAAATGGTGGTCATAAATTAAATATTTATGTCCCTATTTGTTAGAATACCTCAACATTTCCAAACTATAGGTCAAAGTCCCCTTATGGAAATACTATGACCTGATCTATGATGCCATGGAGATGGAAACAGCATCACGAGATCCAGGGAGGCTTTCGGGGGAAGTCACTCATGTACCAGAGTGTGCACAGTCCGTGTGTGTTCTTACTTTGAATGTAATGTCGTCAAAAGATGCTGGAATAGAGTCAAGACACTCTTGGCTTCTGCTGTTCCTAACTGCGTGGTCTTGGGCAATGCACAACCAACCGTTTGGGTCTTAGAATCTTGGTTACAAAAATGAAGACCCTGCATACATTTTTCACTACAAAATTAATGATTAAAATTTCAGAAAAGAAGAAATTGTAACCTGTTTTGTAAACAGTCTAAACAACTGGCTGAGACATGCTGCTTAACTGCAAGGACACCTGCAGGCCAGGCATGCCCTGGAGTCTTCCTTGTGACACTTACCTGTCCCCAAGTCAGGAACCTGCTCCTCCAGCTCAGCAGGTGGCTTGGCCTTCTCTGCTGGGAATGATGTCTCCGAAGTAGATCTTTCTTTAAGTCCTGCATTTTTTATTCACAGTGTTAACTGACACTTCTTTCCAAATCATTTTTACATATCAAACCAGGAAAAATAACTTTCAAACATTTGGGTAGTGGTGCAAGGAATTCAGATTTTCCAGTATTGTGTTTAAAACTGAAGAAAGTTTTCCCTTTCGCCTCCCAAGGGTCTTCAGTGTATCTAAGACATTTTAAAGGGCATTCATGAATATTTACAGCATATAATCATGTCTAACCTTGCCAAAAGAAGTTCAGTGTGAGTCTAAGCCCTCTTGTGTTAAGAGAATGAGGACTTCCTAAACCAAAGGTGAGCTCAGCAGAAGGAAGCGTTGGGACTCTCCTGAAGCTGACCCATGCACAGTGCGAACTTGAATTCCCCTGTAATGTTTGATTCTCCTGGGAATAGTAGAGTTTTAAGTAAAGCACACATAACTCTCTTTTTACAGTTTTCTCAAAGGACCACCTATAAGCAACCATAATGTTTTTTTTTTTCTGGTTCAAAAACATATCAAAAAGTCCCTTGTTTAAAAAGGAAGGAAAACAAGGCAGAGAAGCAAGTTAACATGAAAACTGATTTTAAAGTCACATAAATACTAAACTAGTGCTTTGATGTTTTACATGTGGCACATTAGATAAAAACCCTGGGTAACCAAGAGTCCATCCAATTCTGTTTACAGAGCCCTGAGCTTCTCTGCTCTCCCTGAGGACTGAAGGACTTGTGGCATCTGGGAAGGCAGTGATCCCAGAAGGTCATGCCAGCACTCAGCACTCTAGGAGTCCTAAGCACTGCTGGACAGCCGATGTCAGTTTAACACACTTTACGTTTTTATTCTTTGCCCGCACTCCTACTCCTGTCTCTGCCTGATGCCACTTCTGAAATCTTAGAGACAGCAAAGGCAGCTGGTAAGCTCGGCTATCTTCTATTTCCCCATTTAACCCTGTGCACACAGTGCCACCACAGAGCTGCATTCTACCTGTCAGTGCAATCTAACTGTAAGACAGACTTCAAACTAGCTCACCGTCCAAGAGTGCAGATAGGGATGAAGACCTTACAACATCTCCTTGAAATACAGGGTGGAAATACTCTGCCTTCTCATTTAAGTAACCCACCCTTTCACCTCTCACCCGACAGCAGATCAGGAACCATCAATGAATAAGTAGTGTTAAATCGATGAGGAAAAAGTTGAGAGTCCATGAACTCATTGTGTTTGCCCTCAGAACTTTGGCCAAAGGTTGACCATGGCAATAGCTACAGAAATGCCTGCGGAAGGGCATGCAGTGGAGTACCCTCCACTAGCCCACTGCTGCAGAGGCTCTCTGCAGGGCCAGAGCTCCTTAAATATACATGGTTGGCACAGGAATGTGGGGAAGAATGAGGACTGCACCAAATACTGTTACTATTTACCAGATTCCTCTCTGCTGGTGCCCACCATTTCTGTATTATAGGTAGTCTCCCTGGGGTGGTACCGGTGTGTGCCAGGTGTCTCAGAATGATGAAAAGCTACAACTCCTCCCTCACTGACATACAAACCTTCACTTTCAAACTGGCCTCCATTTGTGCATTGAGCAATGAAATAGCACATTCAACTGCCTGAAAGTCCACACTTTCAAAACTTGGAAAAGTCCATTTCATTTGAGAAAGAAATACATGCTACAAGTGTTTGAAAGCTACCAGTTTTCAGACACAATACATGAGAGCCATCTTTCTGTAACTCAACTAGGAGTCATTTGTCTTTATAATCCAAAGGATAAAAAAAATGTAACAAGAGACGGGGAACGTATCCAGCAGGAGAAAATACTACATGGCTTCATTTCTACCCAAAGTATGAGACAAATGGCATACATACCAACAGCTGGTCAGCGCCATGTCCAGAGGTGACTTTAGCAATAATAAACTTCATTATAAACTTCAAGGCAGTGAAATATCATATTTACACATCTCCTTCACTGGGCCCTATAAACTTTTGCATTTAACAACACAAGCTACACTGAAACGGCTTTGACAACCCATGGAGAAGCACTGCCTTAGAAACTGCTTCACAAAACCAGAAACTTAACCACAAGTGACCAACTCAGAGTCAAAGGAAAGGGTTCATGTTTATTTGTTTTTGTTAAAGCTGGGGCCACGTACTGAAAAGTACAAATGTCAGTGGGATAGACTGAGATTTGCAATGAACATTTAAAGCTATTTTCTGAAATGCCTTGTGTCTGTTGTCTAGTCCTGGAACTGCATACAACAAAACTATCTATAGTTCACACTGGCTTGAGGAAGATTAGCCTCTAACTTAACAAGCAGTGCAGAAAGAAGCGGGCTCGCTCCCAGCCCCGACCTTAGCCTCCAAAAGCAACCCAGCTCCCAGCTGCAAGCTCTTTCAGACAACACATCCAGAAGTAAATGGGCTGCCTGTCCTGCTGGAGAGTCTTGAGGATGCTCCCAGAGAAAGTAGACTCTACTGCCGCTGCTTACTGTCACTGTCTAGGTGCAGATGTTGCCAGGCTATGACAATGGTGGATAGGAGTGAAAATAAAAATTTCCTCACAACACCTTGACTGTTGTTCTGTAGACTCACTAGACAATTAGGAAGCTTTAAAACTTGCATTTATAAATAACTGCTTCTCTCGTTTTATTAAAAATGTAAGTAGTCATCAAAAGTAAATGAAGCCATCATTTAAACCATTCATAGCACCCTTGACCACTGGACACCATTTTCCTGGGCCTACTATTAGCCTGCTTAACTTTATTCACTGCTACCCAACCACACCTGACCTGAATGAGGATGAAATAATATATATGTATCTCCATAAATATGTAATAGCTTAGAGCTTACCAAACGGCAAATGTAAATTCCTTAAACAAATATGCATCAGTTGTTAATGCGCAGGACTCTTCCACAGTAGGTGAACGTGTGCAATGCAAGTCCTGCAGGACAATGTGTGCGATGTAAGCCTTGCAGGAGAGTGTATGCAGTTCAAGTCCTGCACAAGCATGTGTGAAATACAAGACCTGCACGAGAGTGTGTGCTGTGCAAGTCCTGCACAAGAGTGTGTGCTGTGCAAGCCCTGCACTAGAGTGTGTGCTGTGCAAGCCCTGCACGAGAGTGTGTGCTGTGCAAGCCCTGCACGAGAGTGTGTGCTGTGCAAGCCCTGCACGAGAGTGTGTTCTGTGCAAGCCCTGCACGAGAGTGTGTGCTGTGCAAGCCCTGCACGAGAGCGTGTGCTGTGCAAGCCCTGCACAAGAGTGTGTTCTGTGCAAGCCCTGCACTAGCGTGTGTGCTGTGCAAGCCCTGCACGAGAGTGTGTTCTGTGCAAGCCCTGCACGAGAGTGTGTGCTGTGCAAGCCCTGCACGAGAGTGTGTGCTGTGCAAGCCCTGCACGAGAGGGTGTTCTGTGCAAGCCCTGCACGAGAGTGTGTGCTGTGCAAGCCCTGCACGAGAATGTGTGCTGTGCAAGCCCTGCACGAGAGGGTGTTCTGTGCAAGCCCTGCACGAGAGTGTGTGCTGTGCAAGCCCTGCACGAGAGTGTGTGCTGTGCAAGGCCTGCACAAGCATGTGTGAAACGCAAGCCCTGCATGAGTGTGTGTGCTGTGCAAGCCCTGCACTAGAGTGTGTGCTGTGTAAGCCCTGCACGAGAGTGTGTGCTGTGTAAGCCCTGCACGAGAGTGTGTGCTGTGCAAGCCCTGCACGAGAGTGTGTGCTGTGCAAGCCCTGCACGAGAAGGAACAAATGAAACATGGGAACAGAAACTGCTGAGGTCACTAGGTGAGTAGATGTTACAGAAATGTGGGCAAGAGGGCACGGTCAGGGAAAGGGCTCAGCAAGTAGATCTCAACGGATTACCAAAGGCCAGAGGGACAGGGCTAAGAGCTACACTGCAATCCTCAGGCAACGGAAGAGCAAGCTTAGAAGCTTGAGTCATGGGGACAGAGAAGGAAGGCAGTGTTTAAGCACAGCAAATGTCCTAGGATATTACATCTCTCCAGTCCAAGATAAAGGAGTCACCTTTCCTAAGAATTACACTGAAACCCGACAGACAGGCTGAGAACTCCACAACGGCATACATGCTAATCAATCATGCTAAATTTTCTCTTTGTTCCTGCCTTGTATAATCAGTAAATATGGATGTTAGTAAGAACACCAACAGTTTCAGAACTAAGCAAGAATCTGAGGCAACCAGAACCAAAAGCTGCCCCTGATTAAAATAAAGGATCTCCTTTATCAGACCCAGGAGATAGACAAATTTCAAAAAGAGGAAATGCTTGTCACCAAACAAATACGGACAAAAGGTTCCTAACAGCCTGGATTCAGGACCAGCAAAGACACTGCAAAGCTTGGACAGAGGGGACTCTTAACACTGGAGATCATCCTGGAAATGCTAGAGGTGCAACCACCCTGGTGTGGATGAGCCCCAGGGCTTGAATTAAGTGGGGATGTGTGTGGATCTCACCTCTAGCGACTGGCCCCAGACACAGCTTTGGTTTCCACCAAGAAAAAAAGGTGACAAAAAAAATAGCATCCCCTAAGCTTTTTAAAGACGGATCACTTAACCCCAGTAAAATCATGGCTTTTTTGTACCAATTTACTTTCTCACTTATTCAAAAAAGAAATCCTGCCCCACCCCTTGCACACAGCAACAGGAACAGTTAAGAGAATTTGCTTGGTGTTCCTTCAAAAAAATTACATTTTTCTCTTCTAAAGGTCTCTAATGGTGTTAAAATATCTAAAATTTTTCACCTCATCTGCTGTGTATTTCCCTATTCAGCAACCAGTGACTGTCGACAGATGGTTGGTTAGTGGCCAGGCACTGTACAAACCAGTCTGAGAGCGAGGAAGCGGGTGCTGGCCATGGTGGCCATGGCACACTGTCCCCGAGGGCAGCTGGGCTGGGTCCCACACACGGGCCTTCTCAGGAGAGGGAACAGCCACAGGGGCGGTGGCTGCACTTTGCCTACCTCAGCCCTCCATTACATCCCAGCATTTCACTATGCCGACTCCATGCACCTGTCT